ATTTTTATTTCTTCTTTATTTTTTTCTAATATAAAAAGGATGTATAATTATTATACTTTTTTCTCAAAAATGTTCAACATTTTAGACAAATCCGAAGAAACTGAATTTTATGAGAGCACATGTGATAGGAGGAAAACTATTACTAGAATTTGTTTATAAAACATACTTAACAAAATTAGGAAAAAAATATTAAGAATATTTATAAATCTATTAATACGAGTATCACTTATATTTATTTGATTAGAAGTTTTAAAGATCACCCATGGTAGCTAATATTTTCTATTATAATCCAAACAATAATAATTGTTTTTTATTATATCGGGGGCTTAAAAATAAAATAGATTATATTGAAATTTAAAAAAAAAATGGAAATACATATTTCTTCTAGATACAAAAGCTAAATATGCTGACAGATTTCCCTGAAAACTTTATTAGTGTAAATATTTTTGACAACTGATATTTAATTATGATTCCTGAAAAAATTAGTTTTTGCATATAACCACTTTTACTTTTAGGACAACGTTATCTCCTAATAGGTACTAAGTAATGAATTAATTTGTTTTATAGTCTTTTAAATTTATATTTAAAGCTTGACAAGTATTATGTAGAACGACTACATTTTCTCTTATTCTATTACTCACAAACCTTTTTTTCCGTGTAATTTTATTATTGAAAATAATACTAGTGAATTAATGAAGAGGGGGCCGGCTGATAGGAATTCACTTTATGTTTTATAATAATATACAAAATTCGTCAATAATAATATATGTTTTTATTTATATACTTAATATGTTTTTACTTTATTTTATTATTTATTATTGCGAATTTCAATTTTCGTCAGTGTCAAGGTCTTATAAAAAGTGTTTCAAATATTTGATTAAAAAATTTATATGAAAAGACAAGTACTTTATCGCTTATTTAAAAATCGCTACTTTAAAAATAAAATTTTGCGTCATATTAAATTTATATAGTTTTCTTGGCATGTGTTAAAAATAAATTTGCAAATCAAAAATATTTTTAATTTCGTATTTTTATTATTTTTAAAATTTATTGAAATTTTTCAATAAATATCTCTTAAAATTTGTTACATTTTTAACCAGTTAAATATTGTTTAACTGAATTTTGAGATAATGAAAATAATGTTTCTCAATGGCGTCTGATTACACTTTTAAGAAAGAATATACTATTAATCGTCTTTAGCTTGAAATTGAAAATATTGTAAATTACTTTGGAAACTTATCTTTATCAAATTGGTAAACCAGAATTCTTCGCAAATTTCGATCTGAATAATATCAATTACACGCTCAACTATGTCTTTCAAAATTTAGGTTGCTTCCAAGTGGCCGGCATGCAAGAATTTTTCTCATACCATAATTAAGAAAATAAAGTAGAGGCATCAAATATAGCATAATCTTGGCAATTCTCTGATGGACCAAACACGTAACACAAACTAATGCAAGAGGAAGTGGTACTTAACATGTATTTATTTAATGGCATTTTGCAAATATTTTCTTATTAGTATTCTATAACTTGAATTCTCATTATTCGTCTTAAGAATTTTCCTGCAGACTGAATTTAAACTGATTTTAAATATTTCGTTAAATATTAACTAGTAAAGCACTTCCTGATGTAAGTGAAATAATTGTTAAATGATAAAGCGATCTGTTTTATTTTTACGATAACGATTAACAGCTAGACTGTGTATGAAGGAAAAAATTTAGCCCTTTATTTATTTTTTTTTTGAAATTTTAAATTAATGATGAAATATGTATAATTTATTACTGTGAGGGGTGAAGCGCAGAGAACACAGTAAAGATTATTGAATATTTACAACAAATTTCTTTGGGTAAAAATTCATTTATGCCTTATGCGAATTGCTAATTTAATTAAGTGAACATACTTATTTTATTTGCACGTACTTAACACATTTTACCAGAATTTTTTTAAAGATGATAATTAATTTTTTTAAAATTCTTTTACATTTTTGCAGTATAAGTATGATGAACACGTCATTTCCGGATCAGTCAGTTTAATCAAAACTTTAAATGATTTTATAACTGAATCATTTCATTTGTATTTATTTTTATTATTTACTTTTTATATTTACATAATCCAATAATTTTCATTTTATCAAAAATTGTTATCAGCTTGAAATTTGATAACATCGTAAATTTTTAAAACCACTTTAAATTTATATTTTAGTTTTTTTTATCATGTGCCAAATTTCTTAATGGAAAAACTGTCATTGGTTAATTTATTCGAGGTATAAAATAATCAGTCAAATATTTGTTTTCATCCACATATTTTTTTTTAATGAATAAAACAAATTATTAAAATATGGTCATGATATTAATTACAATGGGTGTGCTTACTTCATAAAAATTAGGAACGTATTTTTAAGGTTCTCTAACGCTGAGCAATTTTAAATAATGTTCACCAAACTCTATGATAATAAAAAAAACTTATAATGCTTTTCTAAATTTCAATCATAATGAATTTTAATTACCTGTTTAATATATATATGTATAACAATAATTTTATATTTTGAAATTGAAAATAATATCGTAATTAATTATTATTTATAGATAAACGATTTTTATTTTACACACAAATAAAGGGTATTATCTATTAGTTTATACTTGATGAATAAGAATTTATCAACTTGTTGAGGGCATACATTTTTGGTAAATTATATTTTAACCCTAAATTTTAATTTTGACACAAAATACATATATGAAGTTAGTACTCTTAATGAATACCATTATGATGATCATTACGTACCCCTATAAAAGGATGATCATTATATATGAAATATGAATACTAAACACCCTAATATGCTTAAGTATTAATTTTCTCTTAAATTAGTAAATTTATTCAACTGAAATTCTACATTTCAGAGTTTTTCATAAAATCCATGTACAATCATTTTATGACTTTAATAACAAAACTCAATATAATGCATTTGCATACATATATATAGGTGTATTCCTAATATATATAAAAAATTCACAGCTCAATGTCCTTAAAATTTTTAAGTACGTTAGAGATATAAGATTAAAATATATTTAGTTTGATAATTTTCTGGGTACTTAGCATACATACGTATGTTTACAATAAATATATTACTATTGACAATCTGTATCCTAAGTATTAATAAAAATTTATCAAAATTTAAACTATCTCTACGTACTTGAACCATTTTTTTAATATACCCTTAATACCGATACCAATTATTTATTAGTTTCACTCTGTCCGTCCCTGTGTATTTTTGCAAAACTTCTACACCCCTTAAGATAAGAAGGTGAAATTTTATACACAATTTTACTAGAAACTTATTTTTGCAGGAGAAGATTTTCCCTCAAAGTCCTAAACATTCCATTTTTGAGTATTTCTATATCGAAGCCCCAAACATTTTTTAAAGTATATTTTTTTAATGAAAAAATTAACTCTAAAATTACAGTTACTTAAAAATCAATTTTGTTTTAATTTTTATTACGGTTTTTCTTTCAAGCGGTTAGTGCCTAAAACTTTAGACACTCATAAAAAACACTAAGAAATTTTTTCCCACCTCGATCCTCTAGCAAGTAATCGCTTCTCGAAATTTTTCTTTCAATTTTTGTTTTCTCATCCTAAATATATGCAATAATTTGAAATATTTGATATTTAAATGAAAGTAATTTAAGAAAATTTTTTTTAAAAATATTTTCACTTGTTTAAAGGAAAAGTGCTGTTTTATAAACTATTACTTTGACTCGTATTATTTTTATTCAATTTTATTCTCACATTTCAATTTTAACTCTACTATAACGCAAGTTGTAATTAGTAGTGCAATAATATGATAAATTTTAATTCATATTAGATTATTTAGCAAATATTTTAATATTAATAAATATTCATAGAAGGTATATACTAATATTGATATTTTTCACATAAATAATACATGCATGTATTTAGAGAGATTTTAATCAATATTATTAGAGCATCATCCATCAACGGAAGGTAAAATAATGGGAGAAAAATATAAACCTGCAGTGTACCTTCATATTTAAATATTAAAAAAAACTATATTTTATTTTGATTATGAATTTCGATTATTTTTCTTAAAAATATTTAAATTTAATAAATTAATTACGTTCAATTACCACTAATTTTAAAAACAAAATAGTCATATTTAAAATTTTGTATGTAATTTAGAATATATATTTTTTTTTTGAAGCAAGTATAGAATTGTTTTTTACATAATTATATTAAAATTTTAATTAATATTTAACTATAGAGTTCAGAGTTACCTTTTCATAAAAATATTTATGGCAATTAGAAGCAATTCACATAAAAATCTCAATAATAATTTGACTGATAATATTGTGCATTTATACAAAAAACAATTTGCAAAAAAAAAAAGTGTAATATTGAAAAAAGTTTTTGGATCAATATTTAAATGTTTTAGTTATATATACAATTTGCAATTAAATTTTTCTTTTTTTTTTTAATTTTGTTTCATATAACATATATAACGTTATGTAGAAAATTATCCAAAATAACTACTTTTCACTATTAAAGATTATTATAAACTATTGAAAATCCTTTTATAATAACTTTGAATCCGATTATAATAATATGTAAGTATACTAAATTACATATGTGTATTTATTATATGTATGTACATATACAAACAAAATTTTACTCCCACATTAACAAAAACCTTATGGACCTTTTATCCATATATACAATATAATAATATCTTTTATAGAAATTACTTATGTATGTTAACATTATTCAATAATAATAATGAAAAAAAAAAAAATATACTGAAATGTATGAATTCTGCGCATATTCCAGAATTCTTTATAGAACGTCAAACCAGAAGCAAAAAAAAAACTTCCTTTTTTTTCCCCCTCATATTAAAAATTTAGAATAATTTTTTTTTATACAATGGTTATTGAGTTTTATTTCCTTCCCAATTTATGAGATTTAAATAATTTAGAAAAAATAATTTTTACCTTAATAATTTTTCAGTATACAAAATATTATTTTAATCCATTCATTTTTCGTTTAGAATCTAGATGATATTCGATATATTTAATCTTTTTTATTATATAAAATATTATATTCGTTTTTTTTTTTCTTAATAATTTCAATTCAAATTCTTAACTTGTTTCACCATTTCAAATGATTTCTTTCTATAAAAATATAATCACAATTTCTTTATTAAACATATACTTATAAACAATTAATTAATTTATTTATATATATTTTTTTTCCATTATATTATTACTTAATAATAAATAATAAAAATTTATTATATTATATTCAATAAACGCACTCACTGCCCTTTTTTGTACAATCTTATATACGAGAACAATATTTATAATAAAGCAAAAAAAACAAAAAATTAAAAGAAATAAAAAAATATAAAAATGCTTTATAAAATCTATATACATTGAAAATTTTTAAATTGATATACATATATTATTTGTACTACCGTAAATGTTATGTGTTTTTTTCTGTATACATATGGTAAAATCGAATAGAGATTGAAATAGAGTTGAATTTAATATATTGAATTTTTTTTTATTTGCATTATGTATAGCTATAGTCAATCTGAAATTCTATATAACATAATTGTATTAATAAAATTACAAAATTTAATCTTATTTAATTGTAAATTATGCAAATCAAAAATTTCAATTGATTTTATCGATCAAAAAATTTATAAAATATTTCAAAATTTTATTATTCTTTCGTTGTATATAAATGTTGAATCAATGCAGTAACGTACGGTTATTAAATACTTTACAACTGTTAAATCTTGTAATGTAATAACTAATAATATATTATATAACTTTGTTATATACTAGTAAATATCGTTATTATAGTTATTATTAATGTTAAACTATATTATATAATCAGACAGATATTATAAATTTTGACCTTATAGTCCGGAACGTCCAGTTTAAAAACAACAGTTTTCTTTATTTATAAAAAAAAAATCTAAACTTCCACCTTGACCAATAAACAATTTGATTTATTAAAGAGATTAACATTTAATTTTGAAAACAAATTCATAATTTGTTCTAAAAACGAATGAAGGTTAAAGTTATACGTATCGATATTAAACAGATTTTTAATAAATGCTTTCATTCATACGTATTAATATTTTATTGAAGAAACCCTTTAGAATTAGAAATTCTTTAATATTGGAGCTTAAGTATGAATTTTAATAAAAATTTTAAGAACGAAAAACTTCCTAACTATAATTTCGGCTAAAATTTTTATTATAACGTCGATATAATAGTTGAATTATTTTAAATTTATATAAGTAGAAATTTACGATATACTTATATTTTCATAAAAACTTATTTATATTAAATATTTTGTCAATTTTATTGCCCACATTCTTTTATTAAATATCATCCATCCCACAAGTCAATAACCTTACTTCTTCTATTCTTATTTTATATAATAATTTTTATCAAAGAAGAAGAAGAAGAGAAGAACACACATTTAATCCCTTTCTGACTTATGCTTATTATTTTAATATTATAAAAAAAAATAAAATGTTATCATATTTTCTGTCTCTAATTTCATTAAAAAAAAAAAATTTAACATTCCACATGTATACAGAGTTAAGACACACTTCGTATGTGTATAATATAAAGTGTAAGAAATACAATCATTATAAAATTTGCATATTATTATTTTTATTATTCTTATTTCCTCTTTTACTTAATTTGTAAAAAGAACTTTTAAAATGAATTTTTAAAAAATGTTTTTTAATACTCAAAGATAGCGAAAAAAAAAATATAAAATAAATTGTACACTTGTTTGGATGAATCACTTTTTAATTCAAATTAAAACAATAAAAGAATTTCTCAATTTATATGAAAAAAACCATTCAATTAATTCAAAGAATTTTCAAATGTGTGTACACACATTTCATATATGTACATATCTAAGAGATTTAATTAATTTTTTTTTAAGAAAATTTTGGATCATTAATTTTAATTCTCTTCAATTTTTTTATTATTATTGTTGCTCGTTATTGTTATAGAGAAATTATTTCACTTTTACACCACTATCCACCATTATTCTAACTAGAGAATGAAACAATTTTTTTTTTCCAAACTTTTCGTATATTTTAATAAAAAATTAAAACACAATATTAATTTTTTATAAATGAAAATTATTAAATGAAAAAATTACTTTTATAACAAAAATTTGTGTATTGATTTTTTTTTCCACAAATGAAAATTTTTCTCATATATTCCTCTTTTTTTTTGATGAAAATTCAAATTGCGAATGCGATTGATTCCTCTATAAAACAAAACAAAAATTTGGAATTTTTTACATCTTTACTCGCGAAAAAATATAACAAAACTGAAAAAATTAAATTTTTTATAATAAGGAAAATATTACAATTTTATTTATTTTTTTTTCTTTCACATTTGTCTTCTAAATCATAAAAGAAAAAATATAAAAAAGAAAATTTTTTTTTTTGTTTTGTTTTTGTAATTTTTCTTATTGTTTAAATCGCATGTCGAGAGCACGCGATATACGTGAACGCGTCTGACCCAATTCGAGCGTGGCGTTTAACTGTTTTGTATCTCACTTGACTGAAAATAATAATCAGTGATTCTACTATTTTTTTAGCTGGATACGGTTAAACTCTCCTTTTTCAAGTTAATAATAATAAAACAAAAAATTTTTTTTTTTCATTTTAATGTTCGATGCTCCCCTTTATTTATAAAAAATCATCATAAAAATGCTCAGTGGTTGTTTTGTTGACTTTTTTCTTCTTTATTTTTTCCTATCTTTTTCATTTTTGTTTATTTTTCTCTCTTTTTCAATTCCAATTTTTAAAATTCCATTCCAATAATTTTTTACTCAGCTATTATATACTAAATTTATTTATATACAATGTGAATGTATGTACTATTATATAAATTGCGTGTACTATACAAAATTATATGGTACAGTTAAAGTACAATATAAAGTACTCACTCATTGCTATCTACTCAGAATAAACATACATATGTATATATTACGTACACACAGCCATATGTACTTGTATGTTCATAATATTATATGTATATCATAAATGTTATATGTAGTTCATTGTAGCACTAAGAGTACATACATAAATTTTTCGTATTTTTTGTACTATATTGTATCAAATTACTTAAATTTATTTCGAGTATCACAGTATTTACTCCATTGTTCGAGTTTATTTGAGATATTATAATGTTGTACCTATTCAATTATGCAGTTTTTATAAATTATAACATTGTTGTCATAACATATAAAATTTATTTTTTTTTTAGAAAATTAAGAAATGAAACAATTGCAAAATTTACTAGTGTTTCAAGTTAAATTAGAATTTAGACATATGCATACATAGATATAATTTGAAGCAATAATATAAAGATTTGCTTGGATGCAAAAGTCACCATGTTAAAAAATTTTAGCGGTCTGTAAAGTAATATAATTGGTCATTTAAAGAATACATCCTTAAACAAAAAACATTTGTAGAATACTAATTTCAATACTATACAAAAATATATCGAAATATTGCATATATTTAGGCAAAAAAAAAAATTAAGAGATGCGTTAATATATCATTTAATTTGGACGGTTAAGTTAGTTAGAATAGATAATAATATTATTTTGATCGTATTGTCTTTGTCGTTAGTTTATTGCTTTTATAAAAATTTGGAAAAGGTCGTAGTTTATACAACTAAAGGGCGTCACAAATTGAAGTTTTACTTATTTAGGTGATAACTGGTAAGGGAATGAGAAAATATTCAAATAAAATTCGGTTGATGATAGAATGCTTAATTTTAGTAAAAAATTATAAAAACTTTTATTAGGCAATCTCAACAATAACAACAATTTTAATAATAACATTAAAACAATTTTATATTCATTATCTTCCCAGCTTCCCAACACTATATTGAGACAGCACAAGTTTTTTCATTGTGATAAGACCATAGATTATATTCAAACAAATATACAAAACGTTTACGACAATTTGAGTTAATTTTTGTATTGCATAAGGAAAAGATAAGGTAACTCAAAAAATCAAATATAAAAGAGTCTCTTTTTCTCTAGCCGGTATATTTTCCAACAATATACTTAATGTGTATTGCGTATGTATGTATATAAAAAATACTCATACGAAATCAAAAACATGTAAGTACGTTTGCTTTTTATCTTTTCTTTTTCGTTTCAGCTTTCTTCTTTATATTTTTTGCAAGACTCGAAAATCGAAGTGCTTTTGCAATTTTTTTTCTCTTTTTTTTCGTTTTGTTTTCTACACATAAATGAATATTTTTCGAAAATTTTTTTTTGCACAATCTTCTTCCCCTTTACTTTGTGATTTTCATTTTACATAAAATAAATGAGAAGAAATTTTTTTCGTTCTTTCACCGTGTATCTTTTTTCATTTTTGTTACTTCTCTAGTTTCTGTCATGCTTTTTAGATTTTTGTCTCTTCATTTTGTTCATATTCTTCATTGGTTTTCTTTTTTTTGTCTTTTTATTGTTATTTTTGAAACTTTGCACAAAAAATACTATGCTATTGCTTGCTAGGCACAAGGTGATAAAAATACAAAAATACTAGAGAAGTTGACTATGTTTGAGAAAAATTATGTAAATTTCAGAATTTATTTTTTTTTTAAATGAGTAGAGAAGAAATTTGTCGTGCAAATATTATGTTAACATACATATTTGCGTATATACATTTGTACATATAATACTCGAATTAAAATTGATTGTGATAAATTATTGTTATGACTGGAAAATTTGAGCGGCTTTTATTAATCAATGATATAATAACGAATATTCAGAACGGAATTATCAATAGCATTCAATGCTTTGTAAATTAGTAAAAAAAACAAAAGCTTTTTTTAAGAAAAATTAAAAATGTTTTTTCGATATAAATTTTTTAAAATATTTATTTAAGTTATTGTTATACGAGTATATGCTTAATTAAAGAAGAATATATAAATGTCATGTAGAAATCTTGAGCAAATAACTCTTAAAAATTTTAGTTTTAGTCTTTACTAAAGAGAGATTGAATAAATTAGGCAATTTTGTGTGAATTGAAATTCTTTATTCAAGATGCTTAATTAATTTTTTTTCTCATTTTATGAAATAGCGTTAGAAATTCATAGTATACTTTACGTATTGCATACTTTTTGGGGTCTGTCGTCAGACTATTACCATGCATAATTACATACATTAATTTCTCTAATTAAAATTAACATAAAATATTTTGAATATTTAAGTCGCTTTGCGATTTTTGAGAAATTTTTAGAAATATAAGCGACTCTTTTGGAAATAGAAACTGTGTAATTACATTTTGGAGCTATATAAACATATTACAATTAAGTACTCGTAGTTAACTAAAAGATTTCGTTTTTCATTGAAAATTGTTTAAATACTAAAATTTTATTTGGGTTAACAAATTTTTGCATTATCAAAAATTTGATTAATTGATTATATTATAATCAATTAATATATTACATATTATAATAATTTATATTCAATTTAAAGAAATTGTAATAAAATAAAATTTTATATTGAATTTCATTTTAGGTACAAATTTAAATCTCAATTTAAATGTACCGCGACTAAAATTTTGAATTCATTCAAAAACAAAATCAAATTTTTATTATATCAGCTTTTTTCAAAAATAAACAAAACAAAATATTTTACAAAGAATTGCATGAAGAATTAAATAAATTTTAAAATTAATGCTAGCCAAATTTATTTTGTAACTAACAACAATGCACACAATTACTTTAATTAATTAATGAATTTTTCTGCATCTATGCATAACCTTTTTGATTGAAAATGTTATTTCCTTGTTAAATATAAATTATTTAATCTTCATAAATTACGTAATTGTATTTTATATACCTACAATTTGCATATTACATAATTTAATCATTGCTACATCATAATCACACCCATATAACCTATAATTTTTCAAAACTATCTTTGTATCTTTATTTTTGAAATCACGTATTGCAATTCTTTTTCTCATTATAAAAAAAAAATTTATATTATTTTATAATGGCGGAAAATTTTTATACATATATGTATAAATTGAAAATTCAATTTGTTGATCCTTTACACAACAAACAATGTAAAATATATATACATAAATATAATAATAGTGTACGTTGTAATAAAAAATCCTTATAGATAGTTTTTTCATCGCATGCACAATGGATGCTTTTATATATATAAAAAAAGCAATTTTTTTATTTTAGTTTTTCTTATTCAAAAATGTTAAATTTTCATCATTAAAAAACAAAGTCCTCATAAAAAATGACTTGAGTACCAAAATTAGTGTGAAAAGATTTTTTCTTTCATTCTTTCCTCCTAAATTAAAAATTTCATTCAAAATAACGCATAAATGAAAATCTTTCATAGGAACATTGCACATACATACATACATACATACGTAAATAAAAAAGAAAGGATAAAATTTTAATGCCTTCCTGCATTTTTCTTTTATTATTTTTTAACCAACACTTGCAAACATACAAGATTTATTTTTATTTTATTCTTTTCTATTTTTTTTGATCTTTTCTTATTAGCAGATTTTCTTATTAGCTTTTTATGATCTCTTGTTAAAAAGCTAATAAGAAAATCTGTCAACATCGCTTTCAAAGGAAGTTCATTTGATTTGCGTTGAAAAAATAAATTGTGTATTTCACTTAAATTTGAATTTTTCTATTTGAAATTCTTAAATGTTGTGGATATTTAAGGTTGATTATTACATAATATACACGTATAGATACATATGTAACTGTATATTTAAAACGTGAAAATATTTTAATTATGGAAATTGGTGTTTATAAGTAAATAAATTTGTTCTACCCGAAATCATCATAAAATCTTAGGTAAAACCTTAAACTTTTTTTAATTTTTTTAAATTTCTTAAACTAAAATCATCATGTCATCAAGGATATTTTATTTCCATACTTTCTATACATAGAAAAAATCCTTTTACTATACAATATGAAAGCTGTGAATTTTTTCTTATTTTTATTTTACATAAATTTAATGCTTTCATTACATAATATATGGTATGTACATAAGAATCTATGTATGTAATACTTGTATATATGTTTAGATGAGTACAATAACCTTTATGATAAAATATTATACTCATAATATTCATTAAGTGTATATATATATATGTAAATACATTGTGATGAACGTGTTCTAGTGGATTTCTTAAGTA